TCTGAATTTTGAATCTAGAATTATTCAAAATATAATCTTTTTGTACCAATAAATAACTAGAATAGTCTAAATGGTTCCAAAAGAGAAAAGGAGAGACCAAGAATGATAATATATATATATAAAAATAAGTGATTATATACTTAATAAAAATATATTTAATTATATTAAAATCTTTTTTAAATAAAAATAAATAATATATAAATTATTAATATATATTAATAATTAAATATTAAGAAAATAATGGATTTAATAATTTTTATAATATTTCCTAATTGTATAATAATAGATGGCGATTTCAATATTAAATATAATCTATTCAAACCTAATATAGCTTTAATTAACCAAAAAGCTTTCCTTACAGAATAATCTCTTTTGAATAAAATGAACTTTATCGGGACCCCAGGGGTCCCTATTCACAAAACAGGTTACACAATTGATCTAATCTTTTCTAATATCCCTTTCACTAGCACTATTATTAATATTAATCTGAAAAGCAACTCCAACCACAAAACACAAATAACTATAATCCCGAATCTCACCTCACCCATTACTAAATCCTCTAATCACGTGATTAGTGAAAAAGACCTTTCAGTTTTCCAGGAAATTATAAAAAAACAGGATTCCCCATTTTCCAAGCCCAATGAATATACCTACCAAGCAAATTAATAAATTAATAGAAATACTGAATTCTTTATTTAAATCAGTAATTCACTTAGCAAAAAAGAAGAAAGATGCCTCTAATCACTTTGCCCCTTGATGAATAAATAAATGTAGAATAACATATCAAAACTATAGAATAACTAGAACTAAGGGCATTAATCAGATAGAACACTGATGACAGGAACTAATAATTATAATTAGAAAAGCCAAATATTAATACTAGCATAGAATTATTAATAAAATAAACTATAATAGAAATCTATATAAAATGATTAACTAATATAAGCTTTTTATTAATCTTAGAATACCACCTCTAATTATTAATAATATAACAATTAAAGATATTATTAAAAAAATCTGGATTCTATAAAAGAAGATTTTTGAGTACTTTGATAATAATAATAATTTTATAATAAATCTATTCTAATTAAATTGTATATTCAATAAACTTTTATAATACATGAAAATAATCTTTAAAGAAATAAAAAAAAAATATTATAAGAATTTCGAATATCTTATTAAAGTCTGATCAGATTATTATCCATTTTCTGAAAACTTATTAGAATTCTATTAAACTAATAATTACTAGGATCTTTAATTAATATCTATAACTAAATTATTTTCCAAATAGATAAAAATATATAAAAATAATTATAATTCTTAAAATCAAAAAGAAAAATAAATTATTAATATAATCCTAATAATTAATAGCTCTACTCTTATATATTTTAAAGGATTTGGAATATATAATTATTTAATATATTTTATAAATTACAATAATAATAGATATAATTAGTTTTTAATATAAAAAAACATTTCCTAAATAAATAATAATAAATCTAATTACTTTATTTGCATATAATATTGAAGAGGCTTTTATTTGTAAATAAAAAATTATAATAATTATATTAAATATATAAAGTGTATTTAATATATTCCTATCAAATAGATTATTAGAATATATATGTTAATAAAAATAGCTTTATTCCCTTTTATAATTAATTCAAGTCTTTTTAAATAATCATTTAATAAGAATTTGACTAGAAAATGCAATTATAAAGTATAATTATATTAAATATGATATTCTATAGAACTCTTTACTTTTATTTATACTATATATTTTATATCTTATTAAGCTTTTAAATCAAGATATTAAACTGCATTTTGGGTATATTAATAATATCTATATTTATTATATAATTAAGAATATTTATAAAAATATTAGTTTTTTCAAATATAATTTCCATTAGATTTTTTAATAAAATAAATAAAATTATATAATATTTATATCAAAAAAGCTAAAAATAATATATCTTTTCTAAAAAAGAGAGATATATATCTTATATTTAAAAATAAATAATGAAATAATAATTTGTTTTATTAATAAAATAAATAGCAAAACTATTTAATTAATTTTATATTAACTAGGAATCTAATTTAATTAAAAGTTTTTCTTTAAAAGATATATAGTAAAATAAAAAGCAAAAGCTTATAAAATCATAAGATATATCAAAAAGTTTATATAAATATACTATAATTTGTTAGTTATAATATTATATAAGGTGGTGATTATCTATATCCTATCTTTTATTTTATATAGATTTGAGATATGGTATATAAATTAAATAAAATTAAATTGAATTAAAAAAACTATTTATAATATAATAATAAATATAAGATTAAATAATTATATTATTAAGATTAATTAAATAATTATTTTAATAATAAAAGAAATTCTATTTATTTAGTATATAATTCTAATTATTATAATTCTAAAAGATTTTGAATTATTATTTGATAAATTAGTATTTAAATAAATATAAATAAAAAAATTTTTTCGATTTTATAAAATGAATAAAAATCATTTACTAATAATTTATTTAATATGAGTTTTTTAATATAAAATAAATAATATTAATCTTTATAAACTAATTGAATTAATCCCAAAAGTATTAAGATTAATATTTTCTTTATTATATTTTTCTATAAGAAGCTATATTGATCTTATAGGAAATATAAAAAAAAAAGCAATTATATTTGAATTTATATAATAATAGAATTGTTTATTTAATAGTTATATTATAATCTTTTTAAATAATATTAAATAATATTATTAAAAGTAAAAGATAATTAACTACAACTATACAATTTATTAAGGATAATTTTCAATAATATCTGGCTATAGGGTGATTAATCCGCTTTTATATATTTTTAATATTAAAACAATAGATATTCTAAAAAATTTGGAATATACTATTTAACTGAAATTAGCTGGATAGATTACTATATATATTAATAATATTTCAATTATTTAAGATATTAAGGGTAATATCTTTAATTTATTTTAATAAATATTTTTATATTATTATAAAATTATAAGAAATAGATAAATAATAATTTAATAATTACCTAAATATACTAGAATTTTTGAAAATGAAAAAGTTAATTAACTTATTAATCTGAGCATTTGTAGTAATTATATCGAAAATAATAATTTATTATTTTTTATTATTAATAGAATAAGCTTAATAACTAGAATCTTTAGATAAGAAATAGAATAGAGATGATAGAAATGAAATAAGATTACCCTTACTAGCCGATATTATTACTGATATCTTAGTTATTAAATTAAGGAATTAGAGAAACTTGCTTTTTCCCATTCTATTCTTTAGCGATTGATGGTGTTTAGAATTGGATATGGGGATTTTGCATTCTATTATCAACACTTTCAGCATAATAATGCTACCCTAGAATGCTTTTGTGGATATAGTAAAGAGCCTGAGCATCTAGTATTCTACCAATATTCTTATATTTAATTCAAAAACTGGCTGAATAAATCCGATTTAATCCCATGAAATACAAAGAACATAATTAATTATTTCTTTTTTTTTCTAAAAATCCTAATAGATTTTACAAATTTTCTAGTGATTACTAATTATTTTGAATAACCACACTCAATTTCTCCAGAAATCTTCTGATTTTTTATTTTTATATTATTAATTAGGACTACATTCTTTTTTGGAACCACTTCCCCCCCTCCATTGTTACATATAAACTATACCATATAAAAACTAATAATATAGGATTTTATAGCTAGTTACAAATCTAAGCTATTCAGTATAAAATGGGTTGAATAGCACCAATATTATAAATAAAAAATAAATAATAGAAATATGCATAACGCCCCTAGCCGTTTTTCCCCTGATCTGTATTATAGTTATAGAAAAACGAAATGTATAGTTATGCCAGCACCCCCGCTAGTATAGTTCATCCTTAATACCCCCTGGGAGATTGTAGCGAGCCCCTGCGGCTTGCCCCCCGGATGTAAATTAAAATAAATAAATAAATAAATAAATATCATTTTTAGAATATTATTTTCAAAAGAAATAAAAGTGTGCAAGATGCAGGGTTGTGCAAGATGTAGGAATATTGGTTAAACGCCACATGAGTGCATTGTAGTCCAGGGCGCTTATATTTCTCTTCCTATTCTTTTCTTCCTTCGTTAGCTTTAGATTCTCACGTGGAATTGAATTTTTCTACGACGCTTCTTCACATAATATCAGTTCAAGTTATTCAATAGGAAAGTATATTAATGAAGGCTACAGAGAAGATATACGGAATTTTGTGTAAGAAAGATGTGTCGTTGAATCTGAAGTGGAATGAGTCAAACAAACGCGGTTATTAGTTTTTGCCATCCGCCACTATGCAATGTGAGTTGTTTTATGAGCTTCTAGTCTATCCAAATGCAAGACTATTGAAGTCTAAAGGTGCCAAGTTTCCTTATTACAGCTCATTACGATATCGAGATTGGAGTTGGTATATAAAATTTCTGAAATGTCATACTCAGCTTTTAGGACTATTGTGGAATCTCAAAAGTATGTGAAGGGAAATTTGTAATGAAAACTTACATATGTCGAAGTGCAAATAATAAATTGGATGAGACTGTTCTCGAAATTCGGTGAGCTTTGTTTACTGAAGGTTTATCACATATATTGTATAATGACTGAATATCTCGTCAAGGGTGAGATTCCTGCGGATGAGTATAGCTAGTTAGGGAACAATGTTTTCCTAAATCATTTTTGCTCTAGACTCTTTTCTATTGCGTTCCATTCGTTTTATTTTCTACCATTTCAGCTACGACTGAAACCATTGAAAGTTGTCATGGTGTCACCTTCATTATAAATCTTCATTGGTTCATGATTTACCTAGTTTAGCCTTGCCGTTGTTGCACAAGGTGATTCACCTAATTCAAAACAAAATTCTATTATATATCAACGCCCATATACCGCGATATAATATTCTTCAGCAAAGCTGGATCGAAAGATTTTGAACGGTAAAAAATGCCTTCCATCAGCCACCAACGAGAATCTAGAATATTCCAACAAGGCAAAGGACATAATGGAAACAGTTCACGCCGATCCAGAATTACCAGAGAGCTTTGTGTTGGCTGCATTTTATTTCTTCCCGAAAGATTGGAAGGGAATGAAAGCGTCAGATGTATACTCGATACATGTTGCTGCAACAAATCAGAATTGGATAAAGAGGGGTATAATCATTATGTTGTGATTTTAGATGTCTTTCAATCGGATGATGGAGAAATCAGGTGTTATATTGCTAAAGTGAAATTCCAATCAAAAGAATGCCTTGCTTTCAGCTAACAATTGTTGATAGTTAACTTCCAAGAAAGGCACTACCAGATATCCTATTGATCGTATCAAAATCTCACAAACGTTTCTAGCGTCACCACCAAACGAAGATACCGGATTATTTCTCGAAAATGGAGGTATGCCCAGACAATCCTATATCTCGTTGAGCCATGTCTTCCAAATCTCGCCCTTCGTCTTACGATCGAACAAGCCCGCATACAACACTCGGCTTACGGAGCAGAGCTATAAATATCTGATGCTGAGGTTAGGATTGGAGGCGGCTGTATATGAAGATACAAATATTGTGAAGCAATCTGGAGCAACGATTCGCTCTGTGTCAAAACCCACAATTCACGAAGATTTGGTAAACTTTACAGAGTTGGGTTTGTGGATTGGTAGTGGAATTTTGGAGTTTGGAAGAAGGGGGTTGAGGTTTTTGGGGTTTGGGTAAAAAATAAGGGTTAGGAGATTAGAGGGTATCCGTTTGATTCTATGAGCTGCAGGCAATATATCGAAATGAGATCAAATCTCCGAGTTTAGTGTTAGTGATGGAAACCCTGAAGCATAGCCTGTAGAATGTTAGTATCATAAAAGAAAGTTCAAAGTTTCTATTTCTGCTAGAAGCGTTATTTAGGAGATATCAGAATATCACTGTCAATTATGCATTGTATGTAAGGCTGAGTAGTATGAATCAAAGAGATCTGATTGGTTGGGGAGAGCGGGGTTAGTGGGGCAAAGCCACGAGAACTCTCAACTTATGCTGATTTTGAAATAATTCTATGCAATATATTCCACTACCAATATCTTCTATGGTTATCAAACTAGAAATTATTGCGCTCTAACAATCATCTTTCTCTTTGCGATTTTATCTATTTATAGGTGTGCAGCAATCTATACTCTATTAATGCAAGCTGAAAGCTTCACGAGACAAATAATAGATACTTCGAATTCAAGCAGCTCTGAATTCACGAAAGCATTGAATAATTATATATAACATTCTAGATGTTTTACATGCTTCTCTAGAATACTTCTAGCTTTTTGCTTCCGAAAATTTTCATCCTGTCGTCGCCGCTCGTCTGAATTATAAACATGCTCTTATTTTAGCACAATTGAACCTCTCAACCCGCAACACTAATATTAAGCTCTTTTTTCAATTTCAACTTTGTAAAACGATCCCAACCCCGGCCATCAGGGGCAGCGGCGCAATCGAGTACCACAGCTCTCGCAAGCGCAAACGCCCTGAGCCGGGCGGTATGAATCTGAAACAGCTGTCCAAAGATAGACTTCAGCAAGCCATCGCGGAGAGCGTCGGCATGGAAATCGACACCGAGCTTTATGAATAGTTGCTGCAATCGGCACCGCAGCAACCGCTACAAAATGCCCGAGCCTAAGGTTTTAAGAATAAGATGGGTAAGTGTACAAAAGAAGATAGGGGCGCACATTGCGATCCTACAACTGGCGTTCGAGGAAGAACTGGAGGTTCTGTGTATACAGGAGCCCTCTACCTACCCAAAAACTAAACCCATAATCACTCAGGATACGACTGCTTCGCACTTCTGGATAGCTGGGATAGCCTGGAAGGGCCGGAGAGAGAGGCGGAACGGCCGCGGACGATGACCTACGTACGGAAGGGCAAAGCGCTCCACGCCCAACAAAAGCGAATGAGACCGAGCCGCGATTTCCTTTGGGTAGAGGTAAATGGAATCCAGATATTGAATATATATAGACAACCAGGCACTAGAGATATGATAGAGCTCACAAAAGCTCTAGAGTATCCCGATGGCACAGTAATCGGAGGTGACTTCAATGCAAAGCATGAGTTGTTAGAACCAGGCGTTACTACTTCCGATCAAGGCGCTCTCCTGGCAGAATGGCCAGCAATGAGCGGTATGGAGTTTACTGGCGCACCGGGAGTCCCCACACATCTGGCTGGCCATATGATTGATCTTACCTTTTCAAACATCCAATTCGCTGACTCTATAGTAGCTGCAGAGCTGAATAGCGGATCCGATCACGAGACACAGATTACAACCATATCCAACAACAGATGAGTGATCGAGAAACCTATTGGCAGAATGGTTAGCGATAATAATCTACCGAAGTTTCAAGGTATTATACGCAATGGGGCTGCCGGCATGCTGAGCCCACTGGGCATGTCTAGTGGACGAACTCGTAGAGGAGGTTGGCAAGATGTTCGAGACAGCGATCCGGCTAACAGGCAAAGAGAAGAACAATACAGGGCGCTCAGCCCCCTGCTGGTCCATGGAATGCCGCGAAGCGCACCAAGCGCTCCGCTCTGATAGAACAACTCAATCGGAGAACCTAGAGCGATGCCGCCGAGATATGATGACAATGGTCCGACTGGCGAAGAGGCAATGTTGGCACAAGATCATCGATGGGGTGTCCAACGATAAAGAACTGTATAAGGTAGTCGGCTGGCATAAGCTCTCCGCTAATCTTAAGGCCCCTCCTCTGGTGGTGGATGGGCAGGTAATCGAAGACACAGCCGCCAAGGCGCGTATCCTTCAGCAAGAGGCCCTCGGGCGATTGGACAGTAGCGACGATCTACCGCAGGACCCTCTACGCCCGGGCCGCATTGCAGGAAAACTAACTGGCCCACTTGTATATCACCTGAAGAAGTAGAGAAAAGCGTCATCGGGGTCCTAAGCACCTCTCCGGGACCGGATCAGGTCACAGTACGGCTGCTCAAAACATGCTGGGATATGCGATCTACTGGGGACAATCCCTAGTCGCTACAGGTTCAGGCGCAATTGATAACCTCTCACACGTCTTCGACACTGAGGCAATAGGAGCATTGAAAAGCCTGAAACACACTCTACAGCTTGATCCGCTTGACTCTAGCCCTATCACTATGTGGATTGATAGTACATCGGTAATCTGGTGCCTACGCGGCAATGCCCTAGCATCCTCACAATGGGCATCCCTGGAGTGCCACAAAGCGATGCAAGAGAGGTAGGTGCACATTAGGTGGTCCCCAGAGCATACAGAGATAGAGGGCAATGAGCGAGCAGATCGCTTAGCAGACCGGAAGCTCGGAGCGGCCGGATCGCTAACGATAATTCTGCGCATCCAACCATCAGTAGTATAGGGTCAACCGCCCGGGCGCTGAAGAGGAATGTGGAGTAAACTTGGTGGACACGAAACAAGGTCATACTTGCAGGCAGACACCGCCGCTGGCGAATGGAATACAGCACAAAAGAACCAAGGGAGTTAACACTCCCCCGATCGATCCTCCAGTGCATAGTAGCTCTGCGCTCGGGGCATGGGGACTTCTCATCGTATCATCGCAGATTTGGACACACTAATGCTGCTCTGAAGTGCTCCTGCGGATACGACAAGGAACCGGAACACCTAGCCCTATGCCGGCACTCCCGTGCTTATTTCAACGATTGGCCGTTCAAGCCGGAGGCTATGCCGCGATGCACTAATTGCGCGATCGAATATATCACACAGCTACTCCTTAGACCAGAATACTTTGTAAGCTCCCTAAGCATTAATGGGAACTACGAACGGGCAGAGGAGCTCCAGCCCGCCCCCCCGCGAATAGTAGGCACCGGTCTATACAGACTAGCGGGGCTGTACCCCCAGAGCCGAGCCCCCCGCTCTTCCTTGTAACTCACTACGAACCCTCAAACAAAACCGATCACTATACCCTAGCAGTATCCACGACTCTGGCTACTCAGCATGAAGTGAGCGATCCAGCCCGATATTGTTCAAGCGGAGAGCGAGCGGCAGTAACCCACCAGATACGCACTGGCCGCTCACCCCGTCCGCAGAAGAGCGGAACGTGTGGCTAGTTTACACACTGCATTGTACAATAGAGTGACTAGACTAGCCCATCCCTAGTACCCCCTGTGAGGTCGTGGTAGGCCTTATGCCTATCCCTGGATGTAAAGCTATTAAGTAAATAAATAAATAAATATGACTTATGAGTGGTGGCTAAGTAAAATATATCGGGAACAGGAGTAACTTGGTAAATTATGACTTGGCGAATATACATTACTAAGCACCAAAACATGACGTCGTCTCTTCACATCGGAGTAACTCCCAGACTACACTATTTTCCTCATTGAGTATCTTCAAAATTTGGGAATTGTGTTTCTTGGATATATAACCTTTCCCCAGATGCTCCGAATTTTCAAAAACTCCAATAGTCGCGATCAAGCAGAGGGGAACAGCCGAAGCGGCGATCGGTGGCGTCATTAAAACGATCAATAGTATGGTCAACCACAGTCTTTTTCTTATTGCTCAGTGGTTTCCTTGAGACGAATAGTAATAAAAAGTGGGACATTAACAAAAAATTCGTAAAATTACTAAGAAAAGATTTATGATTCTAAAACTATAGATTCGTCTCATCACAGAGTGCGTCTCGCTACACAGGGACGGTCGTTAGTCTTGCAAATTGTTAATGATAACTCATTAGGAAAAAATAAAGAGAATAGCTGATGGCGTTTCAAGCACCCATGTGACAGATTCATCCTATGTGTAAATAATGAATGGCACAGAGGTCATGGCGACTACGCCGCTTACCACCAGCGATTTGATCATCAAAACAGCAAACTGGACTGCTCATGCGGCAGTGCAAAAGAACCATATCACTTCTTGTTGGTATCACCTCGGTGGTGATCATGACGTCTACATAATAGGTATGCTGTATTCATTGATATTGTGTCTAATCTATTCTAGGTTCTAGAGCTACGAAAGCTATATGCAATACGTGCGTACACTAGTGAGCTATCGCTCACGTGCGTATATTCACTCGTATCGCAACACTTCTTTAAATGCACAATAAGCAACCTAGAGCGCTCAGACTGACCCCTTGCTCCTATGGAGATACACTCTAACAAACAGGTGATTATATATATCAAAAAATTCTTATATATATTTAACAAGTTTATTTAATTAATTATAGATTCAAAATTCTACACCTAGATTTATTCCAATTATTAAAGAATCTCGGGAAAAAGGAATACCTTATTAATAAATTATCTACCCTCTATAAATTTATTATTCAATTATTCACTCTAATTTATTTTATTTTTAAAAACTACAAAAATATAAACCTAACATACAATATAAAAGTTTTAATGTTTAGCTAATTATAGAGTAATATATCCCCACTTCCCCCTTCTATTAACCAAGGGATTGAAATCTACAACAAGTCTATCTATTTAGAAATCAAGTTTTACCCCAATAATAATTTGGATTAGATGCACCCTTCTGAAAACAGAAGTGAATTGTTTTTGTAAAGAAATAAATAGCCCCTAATATTAAAATTAAATTACTAAATTTGATTATGAAGATTACATTGCTTAAATAGTTTCTTATCTTAGCAGATCTAAATACCCTGAGAGAGGTTCAAAAGAGACGTTAATTAGTATAAATAAATAAATAAAATAAAATAAATAAAAATGAATGACCCAGAATTATCTATCATTTGCGTCGCCTCTGAACTATAGTTATATTCAGTATATTTAGACATGTATTCCGATTAGTAGTCAATTATATGCTCTACATTCAGCTAGTCTTTAACCCAACATCTTCAGTTACACCTTTACTTAACTATCATTATCGAGAAGCTCTAATCTTTGATCAAGAACTTCGACGGCGCTTTCGCGATTTCATTCTCGATCGTTCTGCTTCTGAATCAGGCTCTCGTACCGAGGCCGATAGGGACCATTCCAATAAAAACCCAAAAATAGAATTCTGCTGATTACAAAAAAAAATTCTAAAATTTGTATAGTGTACTTATACAAATCTTAAAGAAAAAAATTACATTATGTATAACATAATCTCATTATATATTATCATAAAAACCATTTATAATATATCTTCATTTCCTAAATAAAACAATAATAATAAAAATATCATTATATTTTAACTTTTATTATAAGAATAGGTTTTCTTTTTTCTATACTTATTAAGCTTATATAATTACTTTAATATATATAATCTTAAAATAAACAAATATACAAAATGTAAATAAATAATTGAATTTTTAAATATTCTATCTCAGATTATTTAAATCTATTCAAAAATATAAATATTAAATTATATAATCAATCCAAAAATGATATCTAATTTTATATTAATTAATAAAAGCAATTATTATAATTCTATTCCAATAATTTTTTAAACTAATTCTTTTTCATAATTCTCCCCCTCTTCAAATAACTTTTTAAATTCTATTATTTTTAAATCTTTTAAAATCAATAAAAATCAAATTGTAAATTATTCTATAAATATTATACAACCCTTTATATATTCTTTAATTGATATTTATTAATTTTTTAATAATTAAAATATTATTTTATATATATAAATTATTTTATTCTTTTTGAAAAAAAGATTCTATATAAAGTATAACTTTGAGATATTAATACTCTAGATAAACCTTTATATAATATTCGTATTATTAAAGCTCCAATTATTCAATTTTGATATGCATTTAATTATATGATAATATTCTTTATATAATTTAATCTCTTATTCTTTTTAGAAATATAATAAAATACTGACCTTATCAAAAATACAAGAAGGGAAAAGGCATTTTTGTAGTATATATAAAGCTAAAAAGATGGTTCAAAGATATCTATACTAATTACAAAAGACAGAATAAGTGTGAAATATATATTATATAAGATGTAAATTCCAATAAATTTGTAATTCAATTAGAAATCCCTAAAGTAATAATTAAAACATAATTTAGAAGATATACAATTTATTCTATATTATATTGATCTATTTATTTATTTATTTATTTTAATTTATATCCAGAGGGCAAGCCACAGGGGCTCGCTACAATCTCCTAGAGAGTATTAGGAATAGACTATATTAACAAGAATACTAATATAGCTATACATTCTGTTTTTCTATAGCTATAATATAAACTAAGAGAAAAACAATTAGGGGTGTTATATATATTTTTGTTGTTTATCTTTTGCTTATAATATTAATATTATTTAATCTATTTTATATTAGGTAACCTAAATTTAAGGTTAATTATAAAACCCTATATTATTAGTTTTTGTTTAATATAATTTATATATAGTAATAAAAAAGGAATATAATTTCAATTAATAATATGAAAATAGAAAATTAAAAAATCTCTAAAGAAACTAAATATAATTACTTGAAATAATTAATAATTACTATAAAGATTATAAAATCTATAAAAATCTTTAAAAAAAGAAAAAGGTAATTAATTATATTCTTTATATTTTATAAAATTAAATTGGATTTATTTAGTTAATTATTAAATTAAATATAAAAATGTTAGTAAAATATAAGATGCTTAGATTTTTTATTATATTCATAAAAGTATTTTGAAATAATATTATTGTATTAAAAGTATTAAAAATTGTCACGGAATTCACCGTCTTGTGCAACAACACGTAATTGAGTATGGCACTCCTACAAAGTGCTTATTTCTATGATTACCATATAGTCTTCTATTCATTTCATATATGAATCCTAATACCTAATTAGGCGACTTCGTTGCTTGATTAGAGTATATAAAATAGGTATAATTCTTATGATTATATTATAAGTCAATTTAGTTTATTATTACTATATATATCTATTATATAATTAGAATAATTAATTAATATAGCTATTCCTTTGTAATAATTATAAGCTTGATTAATACTTAAATTGTATATATATATATATATTTATATATATCTTTTAATTCATTTGAAATTATTTATATACCTTTATATTCAATCTCTCTAAACTTATTATATCTAAATCCAATTTTTTAGAAATTATCTATTTAATTATTCAAAAATATTAATTGAAATAGTTTTTATATCTATAATATTTCTATATATTAAAAGATATCTAAAAGAATATTAAATCATTTAATAATAAAATTACTCCGATTATTTTAATTAATTTTAAAGAATCCTTAAAAGATAGCAAAAATTTTCATTGAATAATCTTAATTTATAAAAAAGACTAGTTTATTAAAAACCTATTCAAATTTATCAAAATTATGGATTTTATAAGAAAATATAATTTAAATAATAATGTAAAATATATTAATAATCTCATTACTTATTAAAATCATTATAAAAAGGATTTATAAAAAAATATTCTAATATTTTCTATATCTTTAAAATATTAATTACAGAATCAATTAAATCTATATTATATATTTTTCAAAATATATTAATAGAATATTTAGCTCTATAGAGAGAATATTATAATAAAAAAGACAAATATAATATTATATATAAATTATATTAGAATATCTATAAATAGATTAATAAAATAATAGATATATTCTATTTTATAGAAATTATTATTGAATATAAAAACTTCAAAGTATTATTATTCAAAATAATTATTTAAAAGCTTTAGGATAAACTTATATTGATAATCATTATAATAAAATCTATTATTATTTAAGAATATCAAAATGTTTTTCAATAAATGATTTTAGATTGAATTGATTTTATTAAATAATATAATAAATAGATTAAAGTTTATATAAATACAAAATTATATTATATTGAAATCAAGGATGATTTAATAATCATTAATTTCCTATAGGCTATGGGTATATAAATGCTCCCTATATAAACTAGTATTATGCTTATCCAGATTGAAATTAATAATCAATTTAAAATCTCTAACTATTTTTTAAAATAGTTTGGGGATATATTTGATGGTTTAGCCTATTAAGATTTATTAGCACCAAAAGGAAAGAGTATCTTTTCTATAATAAATTCTCAATCAAAACCAATTCTATATAATTTATAAGAAAAGCAAGGGAATAATTTAAGGAAGAATTATTTTAAAAGGAATAATAATTAATATCATTATTTTTATAGATTAGAGTCTAATTGAAAAAACAGAAAAGCTAATTCTAAATATTATTCTAAAATATATTGATTAATAGAGTTTGTATTTATTAGAAAGTATAATTCTAAGAATTCATTTTCATTAATAAAAAAAGAATATAATAATATATAAGAAAGAATTAAGGATAATCGATAATCAAATCTTTGAAAAATCTGAAAACAAAAGGAATAAATCAATTCAAAAAGTGGAATTTCTTAATTACTTAATTCTAGAGATTTAGAATTAAGAATAGTAATTTATATTATTCAAGATCAATTTGGTTATAAAATATATAATATATTTTCAAGATTATTTTATTTATTCTCTAATAGCATTATATTTAATAATAGTAATACTATATATCTAATCAATAATATCAATCTCTTTAATAGGAATAAATACTTATCTTCATTATTTTCTGATTATATTGAAATTAGAATTATAAGATTTCAAATTATTGAATGAAATACTCGGATGATTAAGAATATTTTATAAAAACCTCAAAATTAAAAAGATAATCTGATTTTATTTAATATTATTTATATTCCTGGATTTTATATTAATATTATTTTGG